ACACTGGGTCAGAATGCCTAGCTCAAGTTTCACCTCTGCCCCTAGTTTACTATGTGATACAGGGGTAAGGTACTTAACCTCTCTGTGCCTCAGTATTTTCATCTTTAAAATGGAAATAATAGGGGCGCCTGGGTGGCTTAGTTGGTTGAGGGTCCGACTCTTGATTTCAGCTCAGGTCATGATTTAAGGGTTTGGGGATTCAGCCCCATCTTGGGCTCTGCACTCAGCAGGGAGTCTGCTTGAGGTTTTCTCTCTCCCTCGCTGCCTCTCCTGCTGCTCTCAAATAAATAAATCTTTAAAAAATAAAATAAAATGGAGATAATAAATAGTGCGTACTTTCTAATCTTGTTCTGAGTACTAAGAGTTAATATATATATAAGATGCTCATGACACTGTTGGGCATATATTAAATACTATATGTGTTAGCTATTATTCTTATAAATAGTTCAGCAAAGACATAGTATCTGTACAAAAGCATGATAGTGTGGGTTAACTTATACACGTGGCAAAACTGCATTGACCTAAACACATACAGAAATGAATCCAAGTAAAATTGAGGAAATCTGAGTAAGATTGAGCAGTTGCATCAATGTCAATATATTGGTTGTGATTCTGCAATCCAGTTTGTAAGATGGTAGCATTAGCGAAAACTGTAAAGGATATTATTTCTTACACTGCATGCAAATCTACAATTACCTCAAAATAAAAAGTGTAACTTTTAAGAAGTGTGGAATGAAGGGGGGAAATCGGAGGGGGACACGAACCATGAGAGACTATGGACTCTGAGAAACAAACTGAGTGTTCTAGAGGGGAGGGGGGTGGGGGATGGGTTAGCCTGGTGATGGGTATTAAAGAGGGCATGTACTGCATGGAGCACTGGGTGTTATACGCAAACAATGAATCATGGAACACTACATCAAAAATTAATGAGGTAATGTATGGTGATTAACATAACATAATAAAAAAAGTGAAAAAAAAAAAAAAAGAAGTGTGGGTTGGGTTATTCTCTAGCCCCTTATAAATCTGTGGAAGAAATGGCCCTGTTGCTGTGTCCTGGTTTATGTGAAGGGAAGGATTTCATGTGACACGGAGAGAAGAGTCATCAATTACGGACTTTAAAAGCAATTGGCGCCAGCAGTGTGTGAAGAAAGGAGGAAGAAGAAAATCAGTGGGAGGAAGGGGGGATTGGAAATCAGTAATTTTCTATGGAAAAAAACATCAGCTTAACTGCCAGTGAAGACTGGAAAATTGAGGAAAGATTTCATAATCCCAAGGTTGCCACAAAAGCTGGTTTAATTTGTTCAGCGCACAGTAACACCCAAATGAGGGGTCAGCAAATGCTGGAACCCAGACCCCAAACATGTGGCCTCCACTAAAGGAAAGGATCTTTTTGTTAATGCACACAAAGTAGCAGCAAGGGTCAGTACAGATACACAGTAAGACTTGCTCCTTTCCAAACTGGGGTACAAAGCACAGTCTCTGTTGCCCCTCAGCTAGAAAGTCTTAAACTGTTTCTACAGCACAAATTGGAAATAAAGAGAAAATTAGGGGGAAAAGTCCTGACCCTCTATAAAGGGACTGAAACTTTGGAATCTAGAATTATTGCTTTGACTTTCAATGTTTCTGAGGAAATACCTGGACTTAGGTATAGTAAAATAATTCCTGAAATGCCTTTTTTTGGTATGAATTGTAAGCTCATTTTGTTCGACTCAAGTAGCTAACAGTACTTTTAGGTAATGTTTTTTCTCTTTTTAAAATTTTGCCTTTTTATTATAGAAATATTCTAAAACGCAAATATAGATATAACAGTATAATGGATTTCCTATATCCATTGACCAGCTTCAAAAATTATCAAATGGTAAATCTGATCTCCTTTATCCATGTAGCCACACCTCCACTGAATTATATGAAAGGAAATCATAAATATATTACTAATGTGTGTATTATTCAGTTTATGTCTCTAATAATTAAGGTTTTTTTTAAAAAAAAATATTCAAAATAGGATTATCACAACTAAAATTCCCCAATTGGTTCATAAATGTCTTTTTTTTTAAATTTATTGAAATCAGGACATAAGGAAGGTTCCAATGCTGCATTTGATTAGTATGCATTTCAAGATAATTCCTTCTTCTTCTTCCTCCTCCTCTTCTTTTTCTCTTCTCTCCTTCTATCCCTTCTTCCGCTCCTCTCCTCCTCCTCCTCCTATCTATTGGATGAAGAAATCAGGTCATATGACTTTAGAAGTTTTTACATTCTGGATTTGGCTGATTTTATACCTGATGACATATTCCTATATTCTTACGTTTTCTCTAGCTATACTTAGAAGTTTGATCAGATTTCATTTGGTTTCTATAGTTTCTGATTAATAGTTGTCAGTCTTACTGCAGCTTCATTGAGAAAAATGTACCTTTTTCTTTACTCTCTGTTTTTACAATTTTTCTCTTTGTCTCAGGTATTTCAGAAGATTTATTGTAGGATACGCAGGTGTGACTTCTTTTCATTCATCCTTTTAATAGGACTAACGGGATTTCATTAATTTGTGACTTGATATTGTTAGTTTAGCTAAATAAAACCACTCAATTAGTATCTCTTCCAGTTTTGTTTCCACCCTGTTCTCTGTCTCCTATATACAGGACCCCTATGACAGTTATATTAGGCTTTTTCATTGGGTCCCATGTCTCTTGCATTCCTCTATGTATTTTCCATCCTTTCTTTCAGTGCTTTAGTGTAGATATTTTTTATCTGCTGCTAAAACATATCTATTGCATTCTTAATGCTGTTAATTGTATTTATCACTTTTAGAATTTTCCATTTTTGCCTACATTATGGTCCTACGGTGAGTTATCAGTACTGTCATCTATTTTCTTTTTTTTTTTTTCATCAATTTTGGACTATTTTATTTTCTTAGAAATATCCATTTCATCTATTTTCTTTTATATATTAATCAGTTACTTTAAGGTATACACCTGGTAACTTCAATATCTTGACCATTCTGTCTTTTTTCTCTTGCTTTTCTATCATTTGTCTCCATCTCTTGACCTTTCTGGTAGTTACTGATTAAATGTTAGGTGTTGAGTATAGAAAATTGTAGAAGTTCTGGATAAAGTTATTTTCTTCCACGGAGGATCTTTTTTTGTCAAGTTGTCAGTAAGAACCGATACACATCAATGACTTTGATCTAATCAAGGGCTGAGATGAATCAAGGCTGGGTGTTAGTTTTGTAGAGGTGTCTATTTTGAGTTTTCCCTTAGAGCACAGAGCACAGCTTTTCAGAGGCCTCAACTGAAACACAGTGTTTTCTGAGGCCCCATTCTCACCGGCAGCTCTAGAATCCAATATTTATCCTTCCAGCTAGGTGAGAGGGACATTGATTCTGCTCCACAAGCTAGACAGTCTCTGCTAGGACTACTCAACTCTGCCATTGTCCTGCAGAAACAGCCATGGGCATTATGTAAATCAACGAGCATGATGTGCACAGGAAACCAAACTTGGCCTGTAGGTTCTTTGCTAATTTCTGCTTTAGGCCATCACTTTCTGTTTTACTTCAGTGCTGTATCTGAAATTTGGCTAATATTTCATGGGGAAAAATGGCAGAGAAAGTTGGCTCACCTAAATTTTTTTCTGGCATGTGGGGCCCTCAAATGCTGGCTGCTTTGGTTGCTCACTGACTACTTTTACAACATTGTATTTATTTGTCTTTTTTTTCATATTCTGCCTTTATAATTATACTCAGTAGAAGAAATGGTCTGATACAGATTACTCCATAATAACCAGAAATAAAAGTTTCATCTACATATCATTTCTCTTTTTGATTATGAAACTGTCTTCAATACAATCTCAGGATTCTTTGATAGCTTCCTTGATTTCTAAACATTTCAGGATATTCCAGGTCTATCTCCTATGTGTGGAGGGCAACAGGTGTTGGAATCTTGATAGACTGACTGGCTTTCCTTGAAAAATACAGACATGAAGGAGAGGAAATAACTTTTTTTTTTTTTAACTGGGGGAAGGGTAGAAGGAAGTAGGGAGCAATCCAGATAAAGTGAACAGCCAATCAAAAGCCTTGAAATGGGAGCTTGTGTGAGATGTTTTAGGGACAGCAAGTAAGGCAGTGTGGTGAAAGCAGAGGAGTAAAGGGGGCAGGAGGAGAATCAATTACAGGGTAGACCTATGCATATGATGTAAGACCTAAGAATTTGCTAAGCATTCCTTAGTTTTCTAATGCATATAATACCATACAAATATACACAGTGCTAAAAATTGAATGTAGGGGAAGAAGGAAAGAATAAAGCTATTCTAGAAAATTACATATAGATTATCTTTTTAATTCTTACAACATTGTGAATTAGATTTTATTTCCATTTCATAGATGAAGAACTTGATGCTTTGAGATGTTAGCTAAACTGCCTAAGATCATACAACTAGTAAGTGATAGAACTAAGATTTGAATTTCAAGTGTGTTGCATCTACAACAGAAATTTGGTAGAAATTGCCACTGTAATACCATTTTAGTTTTGGTTTTTCAGTTATTTGAGCTGTTTGAAAATGGAATCGCCTATTTCTGCAGTGGTTCTTAATTTTTTTGAGGTCGCTGGCACTTTGGGGAATTTGATTAAGTATGGAAACTAACCCACATATTCAAAAATTCACATATAATTTCAGGTGTTATCTGATCCCTGAAACTTACTTAGGCATTCCTATGTCGTCTATGACCTCAAGATAAGAACCTGGGAGAGACTGAGAGTTTTCTGGTTCTATAAACATTCAGGGAGAGGCTGGACAACCAGTATATCCTGCCATTGTAGAGAAAATGGAAGCACGGATCGATGAACTTCTGGCGACGGTCCTAAAATAATTGTGAAGATTGCCAAATTAGCATGATATATTCGTATGTTCCCTCTCTTGATCACCTGTAGAAGTATACCCTTGTATCTTACACAGTCATAAAAGCCTCCACTACCTTGAAGCATTTCATCCAGTGCACCTTTTAAATTATTTCCATGGTGTTAGAGTTGGCAAGAGAGTGCTTTGAACCTGGTGGCAAGGATCTCCATCTGGGGGGGGGGAAGGAGAAAAAGAGATGCAACCTGAGCCAGAACCACCACCTACTCTATAAGACAATTTCTTTTATAAAATGCCAATATCCTCAAATGGCATTGAATTGTCCTATTTATTTTGTTGACTCAGTTGGTTCCTAAATTGCAATTCAAATCACTTACTGGAATATTTCAACGTGTTAAAAATAATATCGAAGCAAACAAAGACTCATGCCTTTCTCACTTCATATAACCATTTTGTTTATAAATTTGCATCCTAGACAAACTTGCTTTATTTGGATGGTCAGTTTTTCAAAAATATTCTCCAAAACTCTCACAAGCCCAAGATTTTAAAAACATATTTGTGCTGATTTTTTTCACTTTTAGTGTTCTGGTGCTTCTCTTAGTTGATTTTCAAATTATTTTTTATTTTGCAGTGTTGTCTAGGGTAAAGGATACTTGGCTGGAATCTGAAGGAATGTGTTCTAATTTTATTCTCCAAACTGATTAACTAGATTATCTAAAAATACATCAACTAAACAGAGCCAACTAGCAAGATAATAAATATGGTGCATTACACATGGAAGAGGCCTCATCAGAAGCTAGTAAATATGATGAATGAATACATGACATTGAATATCCATTATTTTTATTATTAAATTTTAAATCGCTTTTTGTTTATGATTATTAAGATAATGCATACTCATTGAGGAAAACCTGAATATACAGAGAAACACAAGGAAAACATATTTAAGAATCTGTAATTCTGGGATGCCTGCGTGACTCAGTCAGTTAAACATCTGCCTTCTGCTCAGGTCATGATCCCAGGGTCCTGGGATCAAGTCCTGCATTGGGCTCCTTGCTCCGCAGGGAGCCTGCTTCTCCCTCTGCCTCTCCCCTATGCTCTTGTTCTCACTCTCTCTAATAAATAAATAAAATCTTAAATAAAAAAGAATCTAGGGCGCCTGGGTGGCTCAGTCGTTAAGTGTCTGCCTTCGGCTCAGGTCATGATCCCAGGGTCCTGGGATCGAGTCCCACATCAGGCACCCTGCTCGGCGGGAAGCCTGCTTCTCCCTCTCCCACTCCCCCTGCTTGTGTTCCTGCTCTCGCTATCTCTCTGTCAAATAAATAAATAAAATCTTTAAAAAAAAAAAAGCATCTATAATTCTACTACCCTAAAATATTAAAATTATAATAATTTCCTGTTTTCATTTATACCTTGCAAATATGTCTCCATAGTATATACTCATTTTAATTAGAAGCATGTTTATACATTTGTGAAATAATTATAAATAATAATAAATATGGTATAGAGTTTGGGGGAAAAAAAAATCATGTTTATATATGTTTCACATGCAAAGCATATCCCTAGGCCATTATTCTTTGGAACACAGTTTTTAAGGGCTACATTATGGTTCACCAAATGTAAACACTATTTTTTAATAAGTCCTTTCTTTGGACATTTAATTTATTCAAATATTTTGCAAGCATGACTGTGACAATCACTCTTGTCCATAAATATTTAGAAACTGAATCACTAGATTAAAAACCATGGATAGTTTAAGCTTTTTGATACATATCACCAAAGTATCTGTCAGAGTCGGCCTATTTCCAAAAGCATCATCCACGTATGTGACTGCTCATTTCACTTCACTAATTTTTCCGACAGTACTTATTAAACAATTGCCAAAATGAAATATGAAAATTATGTAGTTATCTTAATATATATTTACTTAATTGAAGGTGGTTTGAACATTTTTCACATATTTTTTGGCCATTTGTAATTTTTTTGAGAATTGTTTTTTAAGATTTTTGTCCAAATGTGTTTTTTTTTAAAAGTTAATTTTTACAATGTATACATATATATATACATATATATGTATGTATATATTTATATTAGCAGAGAAAAAAGTTTGAAAGGACACATGCCACTGAAAGAGAGTGTTTGGAAATGCAGAAAGATTAGTCTTTATATGTACCTTTGTTTTGTTTAAATAAGTATTACTTTTGTTTTTAAAAATATAAAGTTTTATTATGCTTCCCCCAAAAAGCATATTTATTGTATAAAATTTTGGTGATCCTGAGGGTAACTTCTGTGCCTGGAGAAATTAATTATAGCTATTTGGATTCCTGAAATTAAAATTAAATTTGAAAAAATCACAAATTTACAGATCTGTTTACTTAAGGTTTTAAGTTCGAATTTTAAGCTATCTTGTATTTTTCATAAATTGAGTAAATTTAACAACATCTTTCAAGAGAACTTCTGATTAATGTGTAATCAGTCTAATGTAAACAAACTGGAAAGTTTTTAATCTCTACCATTTACAAACTTGGTTAATTCTTTGAAACCCTATCAACCATGGCTCAAGTATAAATTTAATATATTAAGTCTCTTTTGAGTTGACCTTTTTTTTAAAGATTTATTTATTTATTTTAGAGAGAAAAAGAACATGAGTGGGAAGGGAAGAGAGAGAGAGAGAGAATCTCAAGCCGACTCCGCACTGAGCGTGGACATGTTGAAGGGCCCTGAGATCATGACCTGAGCCAAAACCAAGGGTCAGACGCTTAACCAACTGAGCCAAACAGGCACCCCTAGGTTGACCCTTGAATAATGCAGTGGTTAAATTGGCGCACTGACCTCCCCCAACACACACAGCTGAAAATCTGCTTATAACTTTTGACTCCCACAAAACTTAACTACTAATGTCTTACAGTTGACCAGAAGCCATAACACAAAGTTGATTACCATGTATTTTGCATGTTATATTGATTGTATACTAAATTCTCACAACAAAGCTAGAGAAAATGTTATTAAGAAAATCATAAGGAAGAGAAAATACATTTATTTATAGTACTGTACTGTATTTATTGGAAAAAATCCAGTGTAAGTAGACCCACACAGTTCGAATCTGTGTTGTTCAAGGGTCAACTTTAATTCAATTACTCCAAGTTAGTAATTTGCTAGAGTACTTAAATAACTTTAGTAATCCTAATATATTAAATTCTGAAATATAGTGGCACGTAAGACTCATTAAATACATGAAAAATTTTTTAAAACTTTTGGTCTAGAAATTGTAAGTCCTAAGAATTATTCAGATACACATTTAATTGGAATCTAAGGCTAACCTGCTAAACACTCTACTATTCCCAATTACCTTATTAAAATACTTAAAATATCAAATAAAACTATTTAACCAAATTACTACCAAAAAGTCTCCATTTCTAGATTTAACAGAAACATAGTAAGGCTAGGATGATAATTTACACTTTATCATCTATATTTGCAACTCTGATACTTTCAGAATTAGAAAGAAAATTATCCACCAAGGAAAAAAAGAAAATTGGGATCACTATTTCTGTGGAATGAAGGATAAAAATGGACTGCAAACATCCAAATGGATTTTTCCCTTTCTATTGAGGAACACACTGGGCTACCTTTTCAAATGACTGTAACAGCCATGAATTCAAATCCATACCTTCTAAATAAAGTTGCTAATAGCACCAAGCCTTTCAATTTGAGAAACTGTAACAAAGATTATCTTCTGTCTAGTTTGAGTCAACAGCCTCATACCCTAGTCACTTTAGCACTTACTCGGATTGAATGAATCTATTCCCTGCTTCATACTACCCTGAATTTGTGTCATATTCTTTAGAGTATAGCCAAGACACAGTTCTTAAGGATATTTAAATGATACCTGATTACATTCCTTATATGTCTCAGAGCTATGATGATTTGGCCATTACATCACTTAAGTCATCCTAATGACAATTATATAGAAAATAGTGCATATTAGGAAATTGTATTTTTCACATGGTTATAGACAAATATTAATGTAATTATATGTGGGATTTTAGTTTAATGATTTACATAGAGTCATTATTCTACTTAGCATCAGAGATGAGTTTCCTAAAATGGAAGCATCATCTGAATCAGAGCTACATAAAATTAACATTGCCTGTTCTCCACACAACTGTGTTCCTGTGTCCTTATGTGGTCAATCACATCCTTCTTTTTCACATCCCCAGAAACAATCTTGTGCCTGAACTATACTTTTTTCTGGCAACTCTTGACAATTTTGATCACTTTTCTTCAGGTTCCATTGATGTTTATATTGTCTTTCATAAAGCAAAGAATTTCCACTAATTTCTTATTGACCAATTATCTTTACCATCTGTTTATTTGGTTGGTACCTTAGGTGCTTCTCTGTCCCAAACCAGTAAAGCTTTAGATTTTCATAACTTGTGTGATTTTTCTGCCCTATAACTTGCCTACCTTTGATTAGTTAGAAATGATAGGTCAAAACTGGTTGTAACAACTTGGAAGTACTGGCCAACAATCACTAGTAATTATAAAACATGTGGCAGTCTTGTTAATGGTCCTCTGATCTCCATTTTTCCTTTTTTCTATATTAATAAAAGTTTTGGCTGGATCTATCATTGTTCAGCAAAAACTAAATTTCTTAGTCTTTTGCTGCTAGGAATTGCCATTTGACTAGGTTCTATAAAAATGGGATGTGAGAAGAAGCAACTTCTTTTAAATAGTTATTGTCTTAAATACAAATGCCCATGCCCTCATTTTCCTTCCCCTTGTCCACATTATTGGGAATTGTGGCAGGAGCCAGAGGAACCACCTTAGAGTACATAATGGAAGACATGAATTTAGGATGGCTGAGCAACAACATGAATGAGCATGAGTCCCCAGCACCAGAGGGCCAACATATCAAACCTAGATCCTCATAGTGAGTCTGGTACTGAAGGGAGCTTAAAAAGCCTATCTTGTACTCTATCATTTAATACTAGTTGAATAGACTTCTAACTAATAATATAAGCTGAGAAGATGCACAGTGATGTGCCAAACTAGTTTTCATTGGTTGAGAGCACATAATAGATTTTATTTGATAGAATTGATTGGATAGGAGAAAAAAAATAGTTATATTAACTGCACCATTCACTACTTTAATGAATGTTTATACATATAAGATATTTCTGTACCAAACACCTATATTTCTGAGCAGATG